GTAATTGTTGGGATGCCACGGAGAAACCGGGGAAGCCCCCGGAGGAAAACTCCGTGTTGCCTAGACCACGGCCTTGCCCAACACAAGTCATAAATTCGGGCACAGCCGGGAATCGAACCTGGGACCCCAGGATTACAAGGTCAGCGTTCTAACCGCTAGACCACCGTGGCTCATGGATCTCACTTATCTGAGAGAAAGTCCACGGTGTGACAACAGACAATTTTTTTACAAAATTCCCTTTGATGAAAATCTGTTGAGTCGCTACATCACATTCTAACGCTCCATGAAGAGAGACGAATTAAATTGCGTACGAACTACTTCAAAGAAGAAGAAAATAAGTAGAATCTTTAATCTTTGAACTTCATAGCAAAGTAACAATGGCATCATAAGTTTTCTAAAAAAAATGTAGGGCAGTCACTGCCTTATCAACAGAATATCGCGATAGCAAATTGAGAGGTTAAGAAGTGTCTCACATGCCTGACATGATCCTTGATTATAATGCCACAAAATAGGGGTCAATAACGTTGATAAGATTGTAAATGATTATTTTCCTCGACGGACGACAGGTCCTACGTCATCTGGACAGTGACGAATCAAGGGGCGAAAGATCACGAGTAAAAATTGAAGATGGAAGTTTCTGTTTGGACTTGCCGCAGATTAAAATAAGAGCTGATAAACCTGCTTATATCCACAATGATATTCTGCATTTCATCAGACTAAGAAATCAAGAACAGAGACAGAAAAATTAGAAGCAACCGTGAATATGATTGGCCATTTCACTTGGACTGCAACCAAAAGATGTTCATGTCTCAGAAAACCTTTGACCCTGAATTAAGTCATTCTTCAGATGACGCGTCAGGTACAAACGCTAGTGTGAGTGTTCACAAGTCAGAGAACAGGCGATGATGAATGAACTTGAGGTCAATCCAACAACAGTAGCGATGACTCGCTAGATTATCAACGGGATATATAAACCTAGTTGACTGTGTAGACACTAATGACAGTCACCATGAGAATCCTGTGGTGTTTGGTTTCCCTGGTAGCAGTTGCTGGGGTCAGCCCGTATCCTGAGCAGCCCGAGGCAGAGTTGGACTGGTGGCAGACCACTGTGTTCTACCAGATCTATCCGTGATCTTTCAAGGACAGTGATGGAGACGGTATTGGATATCTTAAAGGTAACAGTATCTTCACTTATATGTCGTATTTCACTCATTGTAAAACTATAGTTGGAATTTTAACTAACATTTCAAATAAAATAAATAATTTAATATCTTCAGAAATTATCACATTTCTTTCTTTGTTCATCAACATCACAAAAAAGCATGTATTATATGAACTTAACTAACTTGCATAAAACGCAGTTAAGTATGTTTGGATTTAAGAAGAGTCTGCATATCAATTCCAGGGTTTAGATGCGGAAAATGTCTCCGAAACGTCGGAATTTGTTTTACTGTTGATGTGGCATGCTCTCATGTGGTCCCACTGTAAATATTCGGCATTTAGGCAGGATTATTTTCCTTCGCCTTGCATATTCCGATTAAGAGTTGTGTTTGTTACATGCAAAACTAACCTTCACAATAAAAATACGCTCGTATTAAACCAATGCAACGTCTACTTTACATGAATCCTCAGTCAACTTTAAATAAAACTCACAAAAAGTACATTATAAAACTTTGCTATGACATAAAATTGATGCGAATCTCATTAAGACAAGGTGGATATTTAACGAGACACAAAAAAATTTTGTCGTCTTCCTTACTGTACCATCGGGATTGATTTTTAAATAACAAATTGCTTTTCGTATCTGCAATAAATTAACATCAGGACGAGGGAGGGAACCAACCCTTCAAAGAAAACATCTGTTTACGAACGAAGGCACAACATTACACAGCGAAACTGGCAATGATGAAGTAGATTTTCACGGATAAGTACAGAACATGGGATACACTTTGCACACAAATCACTTACCGTTCAAAGCGCCTTTTCGTAAGCCAGTTTTTCAGCACGTGAGTTTCACGGGTAGTCTAACAGAATTGTGTCGTTCTTATCCTTGTGTTTTCTCGCCTGGAGTTCAAAAAAATGTCGGCTATTCCTTAAGGCTATCGAACGTTTCGACTAGCACTGATGCTGCCATCTTCAGGGTGAAAATGAGGAGGAGGGGTCATGAAACTGTTGTATAAAGATATGTCACTTGTATTTGAGAAGCGGGGTGCTTTGCAACCGGGGAACGACCGCACGATTTAGGAAGAAAGGTGATGGAGAAGTCTGAGAAGTACGATAAACGGAAGTATTAAGACAGAAGAGGTAAAACCATCCTTGCATTGCACAAGTGTTGACCGGAGGTGTTCGAAATGTGTTAACTAGAAAACGTGGTTTATTTCTTCATTGGC